ATACCACAAAATCTGAAGATAAAATTATAAAATTTGCCTTGATATCATAAATCTCCAAATAAAGTCTAGCTTACAAGATCATGATTTATATCTAAAATCTATGTTCAATTTACAAGATGGCTAGCCTTCTAACTTGTCACTCCTCTCGGTTTTCCCCATCCTTGACTTTGTTTCCTGAAATGGTAGATAAGGAAAAACTATGAGATAACTCAGTAAGTAAAATATGGATGGCCCTTAATTAAACTTATGGCATGCCAACAAGTATAATTACGAAAAATAGGTACGAGTATGGAAACGAAATAGACATCTCCTCATCTCCTCTATAGGTCATGGCCAGTGTTATAAATCTCTTACTGGTAGGCACACAATTTACTAGTGTATAATCCCACTAGCAGGATAACAGTATAATAGAAACGAACTGGTTCTATCAGTAACATGTCGACATGTGCTAGCATTTATAAACCTCCCACTAGCGGGCACATGAATAACATGATCATATTGGAGACAAAACAAGCAGAAGTTAACAAGAAAATTATAATTTACAAATAATTTTTAGATAATCGGGGCAGTTAAGTAAACTCCAAGAAGGCATGCTCAATTCAATAAAGATAATAATAATTTCATTTCAAACCAATCATGCTCGGTGCTAATAAAATCAATTTAAATCTTGCCACCATCTCAAAAACAATTTAAAACATGCTTTAAAATCGGAGGACATTATCATAATTTACTTACCTCAATCGCATAACACAAAAAATTCACTTCAAGTGTTAGGGTGATAGAATAATCAAGCACCTAGCTAAAATATTCCAAAATTAATACCGCACTACCACAAATTCAAAATGAAATCATCATTAGGACTACCCCTAATCTCGATGCTATTTCTATTAGTAACATGTATAACTCACATATTCCATAAGATTTTCTACTCCAAATGATTGAAATTCAGTGTATGAACAGTAACTACGCGTGAACAGCACCCGTGAACAGTAATTACTCAGTAAACAACAACTGTAACTTCCAGAAATTTGGCAAAACAATAGCTAATTTCACGGGATTTTTCTCCAGAACCTCACAGCAGCTAATTAACACTCAATTACATAAAATCCACTTGAATTAATGCTTAAATTGTCCTAATTACTACTGGAATTCCTCCTCCTTATTCAACAAAATTTGAATAGCACAGGGCAGCAAATAAATGGACAAAATTTAGCAACTAATGGGTAATTTTAGGCTTAAAGGGGGCTGTCACATACCAGAAATCCAGCAAGCAAAGTCAGAGCTGGCGGGTTTGGGGGAGGTCGACGGGCATGGAAGGAAAAATCAAGAAATCTAACGGAAATTGGGAGAACCAAAGGAAATTAGAGTAAACCTAAGCCAATTCAAGAAAGAAAAGAGGAATTAATGGCTCTTCTTACCAAAAAATAAGGGAAATTCGCACCCACAAGCAAGAGCAGCCGACGGAAGGACAGAGCAGAGCAGATCTGGAAATTCTGCAAGGGGGGGGGGGGTTTCTAAGCTCTAAATCTTTTTCTTGAACAAGAAAAGAAAGAAAAAACCCAAGTCTTACCGATTTTTCTTCAAGGGAGGGCTGTCGGCAGCTTGCTTCTTGTTCGGCTGCAGGGGAGAAAAAGGTAGAGCAGAAATGCGAAAATGGCTAGGGAAGAAAGAAGGAAAAAAAAAGAAGCTAATCCTTATCCTAATTTTTCTCTTTTAAGTCCCTTAAGTTTCAAAATTTTCACTATTAGACTCCAAACAATATTTTTCCCAAAATAAGTCCCTAACTTAAATGATAAAATTCCTGAAAATTTGGGATATTACACATATACCCCTAGGTAAGTTAGACTTAGTCAAGCACACCTCCACTCATTGAACTCCTCCCATATATCTCAGTCGCAGCAATCATCTCCGAGCTTGTCAGACGAATAATGTCAAACACCACATCCCTTACCCTTATTAATCTTTCCATTTCCTCCTCCTCACTTTCACTTAAAGTGTACTTATTAAGGTTGGCTTTTTTCGCCTTCCACCTACACAGAGCTCCCACATTTGTGTCCGACCTCCTTCACTCTGTGTCATTGGCAGAAAAAAATTTATCCTTCCACCCCTTGATGGAGAAAGGCCTAAAGCTGAAAAGTTTTCTACTCTACCCCCCCACAACTCGGGGTGTGAAGTAAAACCACCCATTTTCCTTGTTGCTCCCACCCTTGATTAGGAAGAAATACTTGAATAGGCTTATAGTTGGCATGATCACACCTTGAACCCAACAGTATACTAAGAAACCTATGATAAACCATACTGCGTTAGGGACGAGTTGCGTCAGGCCCAAGCTGTACTCTTTTAGCAATGCCACCAACAGCTTTGGAATGGGGAACCTAAGCTCAGCATATAAGTAGTGTGCGTAAACGGGCATGTAATGATCCCTAGGTGACGAACAAGCTCATTCCTCCTTACTTGCAGACCTTAAAAGCACATGAGGTGGAATGCTATAATTGTCCACTAAGCACATCAAGCTGCTCTGGTCCCTCCAGGACACCTTATACTTCTGCACCTCTGAAACTACATCCCCTTCATCAAAATGCCTTTGCCTCCCATCACCAGCTTCCAAAATCTAAGTAGGGATCTCCATCTATTCACCTCCTCCAATGCTCAATGTCTCCTCGGACAACATGTCTTTTGTTTCGTAGCTCTCACTACAAGGGGTGAAAAGTGGAGAATAGTTAGGATCCTCTACTAACTTTCTCTCACACTCAGTCTCACTCTCTAACTTTGCTCTAACCTCCTTAAGTGGACTTAAGCCTAAGTTTGAGAGAGTTAAAGGTACGTTAGGAACGTCACTCAAATTAGAAGTAGAGCTCATGAAGTTACCTGACTTTGTGGTTGTTGAGTAGCAACACTTAGCAAATTCCACACAAACACAATGTGTGAACTGGGAAAACAAGACCTCAGATCGCAAGATGCTTTAGTCAAATTTTGCCAGCACTTTGGTACAAATCTAGTTAGGTGAACTTGAAATTACTCAAGTCCGCCTATTTGTACTGAGGCCCTAATACCCTTAACGGCCGTGATTGTCTGCATTCGACGGTCATGATTGTGTCTCTTCAAATTTGATGGTTCTTTTTGATTGTATTTATTTATTATAGCACGTCACACGAGGACAATTATCAGCTCGTGAATTAATTTACTTTCAGTTGCATTCCAAAAGCTCGTTTGAATCCAATGTAACTATTTTAACTACTTTTTAAATGTATTCATATTCAGTCATGATATTTCCACTTAAGCTCTAGCCATAAATGGCATAACCACGTGCCATGATATTTTCACTTCAACTCTAACCATAAATCACATGACCATGTTTCATGCTATCTTTATCTCAGCTCCAGCTGTAAATCACATGACCACGTGTCATGATATTTCCACTTCGGCTTCGACCATAAATCACATGACCAGGTGTCATACTATCTTTACCTCGACTCTGGTCGTAAACTACATGACCGCATGTCATGATATTTCTGCTTTGGCTTTGGCCATAAATAGCATGACTACATGCCATGATATTTTCACTTTGGCTCTGGCCATACATCACATGACCACGTGTCATGCTATCTTTACCTTGACTCTGGCCATAAATCACATGACCACGTGTCATGTTATCTTTACCTTAGCTCTGGCCATAAATCGCTTGACCATCTGTCATAGTATTTACTTTGACTGCAGCTCATGCTGCCCATAACCCTTACATCATTCACTAGTGAATGACTGCCAGGGGAGGAATAGTGTAGTGGTGGTCCAAGGTCATCCACCTAGGATGGTCCAAACCATTCTACGTAAGCCCCTGGCGCCATTTGAAGCGTGACGAACTTGGATGAGCTCGAGCTCGTTCCTTTTACCCTCGATCTATAGTAGGTTTGTACATGCACAATCTTCATAGGAGAAATTTATGTGATGGCTGACACATATGATCTCGATTATCCACAAGAAACAACACATGGACATCTCTTTGGAGGCTATAAATACCCCTTAAGGGTCTTCCCTCGAAGGTAATAAGAAACCAATCTCAAGCCTTCTTTTGCCTTCTTTCTAGCAAATCTGATTATTGCTAATTTAGGTATCGAACTGTTTATCCCAAGGATCAATCTCAGGGTTTTGTAGGTTAATTGAAGAACATATTTGAGTTAGAGAAGAATTTGGAGTTCTTTGCAATTACAGTGTGCTTGCTTGCTTGCCATTGCTATTGACAAACATTATGACAACCATCCATATTAAAGAGCTACATTTTTTGCCACAAATTTCGTGGTTGTTGGTTCATGCATGAGTTTGATTCGAGGGCCGACCTCAGCTTGCTACTTTAGTATGTCTGTTAGTGTGTTGTGTTGTTCCACCTTCACTCCATATATAAAAGACGGTGCATATCAATCCTAATTCTTAAAAAAATTAGAGTACAAACCTTAAATCATGTAATTTTATTTAATTAAAATTCAATTAAAAATTCAAATATATACTTTATTAAATGTTGATATATGAATTTAGAAACTAATTATATTATAATATATATTGATACATGAATTTAACGACTAATTATATTATAATATATAATCAGTTTCTAAATATAAGTAGCAACATTTAATAAGGTATATTTTTGAATTTTAAATTAAGTTTTAATTAAATGAGACGACGTCATTTAAGGTTAGGATTAATTTTTTTTGAAGTCGAGACCGATATACACTTTTCCCATTTATATATATATATATATATACACGCATAGTTTCTATATATATACACATGATTAGTGTAGTGTAGGCTGCCAACGACTTAAATAATTCAATGGTTATCTGCTTTTGTTGGAAGTAAGAAGTTCTAAGTTTGAGTTGCATGGCATACGGATAGGGTGCGATAAGAGATAAGAGATGATTGTATCTCATTGTGCAACCAACATAAAAAAAAAAAAAAAATTTAGTGTAGGCCA